CATTGTTCATTGCAAAACAAATTTATTTATTTATACCGTACCTAATATTTTAATGTATTTTGATTGAGAGTTAGTGTTTCTTCAAATAAAACTTGCAAAATGTTATGACAATTTCATTTGGTGAACAACTTCCCATACTAATATTGACAAAAGCCATGCGGTTGTGTGCAGTCAGGCGAATTTCTCAGTTTGTTTGATACAAAACATAATCTAGAAGCCGCACAAATGTCGAAAAAATAATGTTAGGTAACAGTGTGTTTGTGATACAACTCCATAACATACGTGCGACGTTGCAGTTTATGTGTAAAACGCCTGAATGCACAGTAATACATGATATTTTGACAGTATTCAGTAGGATTCATTAGCATAGTGTGTCAGAGCGTAACATGGCCTTGCCATAACATTTTTCTGTTATGCGGTAACATCGGAATAATATAGCGGTATTAATGAGTGTCTATATGAAATATTAGGTTTAGCTACTTTTCTTAAAAACTATTAGTAGCAAATACTGAGTTTTGATGTTTGATGAAATAAAATTATCTTCAGAATTGCGTCATATGATTGGCTTGAATCTCATATTGTTGATTGCAAAAAAAAAGTTATTTATTTATACCATACTTAATATTTTAATGTATTTTGATTGGGAGCTAGTGTTTCTTTAAATAAAACTTTCAAAATCCTAATAATAGCATAGTGGGTGGTATTAATGAGTGTCTATTTAAAAAAGAATAGGTTCAGCTATTTTTCTTAAAAAGTATTAGTAGCAAATATTATGTTTTAATGTTTGATGAAATATCATTATCTTCAAAATTGACATATGATTGGATTGAATCTCATATTGTTGATTGCAAAAAAAGTTTTAGTATTGGTTTTATTATATGTATGTATGTATGTATGTATGTATGATGTAATATATATATATATATGTATATATATATGTATATATATATATATATATATATATATATATATATATATATATATATCTATACAGGGCCGGTCCTACCTTAAATGCAATGCATGCGCACGGTTCAGGGGGCGCCAAAACGAGATTTGGAAATAAAATTTATATTATTTATATATTATTTATATTTTTCTTTCAAATATAAAATCTAGAATACTTAATAGATTATATTAAACGGAGACACAAAAAGCTTATTCTGTTTGCAATGTGATATCAGTAGAAACAATTAACCGATTAATAACTCTGCAAATTAGTAAATTATTGTTTTGCTTATTGTTCATTGTACTTATTAATTTTTTTCTTTGTTTGAAGTTAATGTATAATCGAGAAATAAATTATCTAGTGTTCAATCTCTTAAGAGCAAACCTATGTAAATTAAATTAATTATTGGGCATTATTGACGAAAAATTGCGAGCAGATTTAGTTGAAATGAAACTTGTTAAAAAAAATAGATACAAATTATAATAGAGAAAAATAGAAAATAGGGAGTCGGTGCTTAAAAAATGCCTTATTTATTGTGAGAAATTAAGTTGTAACTTTTGCTTTTGTTGCTAATGTTTTGCATCTGATTTACTTTGAATATTGAAGACATGCATAGTTAGGTTTATGGAAATGGAGCAAATATGAAAAATAGAAGCAAAACTTACTTTGGAACAAAAATCGTAGAGTATTTTTTTACCTAGTGGTGCTGATATTATAAATTTAATTATTAACTATGCAGAAGTAATACAGATACAAATACATTATATTTTTTTTCAATTTAGTTTAAAAAAATGTAATTTCTTTTAACAATCTGATATTTTAATTCTGATGGAAGAGTAAATATAAATACAATTTGGCCCTTACGATTGTATATAACGAAAAAAATAAATTGAAATAAAATTTAAAAAATCCAACGTGAAATACTAATGTTATATTTAAAAATGAAAGGCAAGTTTTTTTTTGCTCTTTGGGCATGATTTGCTCAATACAATAAATTGCATAATGAATAAGTAAAATCTTTCAGAACCCAAATATTAATATCATTATTAAAAATACTTGAAAATTTAAAAATATTTTATTAAATAAATTTGAAATCAATCTATTTTAAACGCTTTTAGATTATATATAATTTTTGTGAACTAAACCCAGAATTTATTTATATTTATATTTATAGTTTTAATGATAAACTGTTAAAACAGTTTAAATTATTAAGGGGGGGGGCTCTAGAATAAATCTTGCATGCAGGCGCTGAGGACTCCAGGACCGTTCCTATATATATATATATATATATATATATATATATATATATATATATATATATGTGTGTGTGTGTGTATATGTATATATATATGATATATATATATATATATATATATATATATATGTGTGTGTGTGTTTGTAAACTGTATATATATGCACTTGATTGATTTTTGATGGCAATTTCATGATAATGTTTTCATCATAATGAAACATGGTTAAATGTAATGATAAATAGAACACTCATACAAAAACTATTCAAAGGTTTCTTCAAATGCAACTTTACATATATTTGATTAGATAGCAAAATATTTATTAAATGCAGAATTAATAAAGAAATATGTCTCATAAATGAATTTTAATCCTGGGAATTACTGATAAAATATTAGAAGTAATTAAATAATGAAGTCATTAAGTAATTAACATTAGTCGGTGATTTTTTCTTAGTTTTTAAATACTGCAATTAGTTTTTGAGATCTTATTTATGCATAATTGTGGAATTTTAATAATCAATATCTATCATGAAATTAAATATTCCATAATTAATTTTAATTATTCTATAAAAATATCTGCATGTTTTGTTTTTATTTCCAATATTAAAAATTATACAGGTTTTTTTACTGTACTACTCATACATACCTTTCATAAAGTAGTACCAGGGGTTAATTTCCATTATATACATACGCTGCTATCTATTTTCCTAAATTCAAATTTCAATCAAGGTAACCAGACCAGATCTATGTATGCTTATTTATCTTTGATAATAACCTTATTGTTATAAAAAATAGTTTAAGTGGGTATTATTCTAGTGTAGAGTGATGAATTTTAGGTCATTTTTAAAGTGTCGTAAAAGTAAGCAATGAATGTTTTTACTATCCTTACTTTCACCACTTCTTTAATAATATTAATAAAATACAAAATAAAAATAAAAAAAATTCTATAAACAAGACTCTCTGAACATTTCAAGTGAATCGGTTGATTAAAACTCGAAAAATCGTGTCAACAGTACTGAAAAAGTCTGTTTTGAGAAAAACGCATTTAAAGTTTTGCGTGAAGCCAAACCAGTATGGAGACCGAGTCAGTAAAATGCCTATATCTCCGAAAATAATTCAAATTTTCAAAAACCTTCTCGTACCCATATTCTTAGATAGTTAAACTTTGAAGATATGACATAAAAAAAATCAATTTTTTTTTAATTTCTACACTAGAATACCCCCTTAATTAATACAAGGCAGAAATATTGAAAAATACAAATTTATTAAAGAATTAATTAAAGAAAAATGTCTCATAAATGAATCCTTGGAATTTAGTTTTCTCTCAGTTTTGATATTAATATATATTTAATTTTTTTAAGATCTATTAATTTGTTATTTATTCGTCAATACTCTTGTGCTTTTATCTGTTTTGTTTTTAAATTTCTAATATTTTATAATTAAGTCATTGAGTAAATAACATTAGTCGGTCATTTATGCATAATTGTGGAAATATAATAATTAATATTTATCATAAAATCAGTCATAATTTTATAAAAATATGTTTGTAATATATTTGAAAATGTATCTTTTGCATGTTTTGTTTTCATTTCCAATATTAAAAATTATGCAGATTTTTTTACTGTATTATTTATACAAACCTTCCAAGATGTAGAACCAGGAGTTATAATTCACATTTTATACTTGTGCTGCCATTTATTTTCCTAAATTCAAATTCTAATGAAGTAAGTTTTTCTATGATTATTGTTAAGAAAAAACATTTAAATCGATACAAGTCTGAAATATAGAAAAATACAAATTTAATATATAAGTTATAGATTCATTTTAATTGAATGGTTGAAATAAAAATCAGTTATAACAGAGCATTTTTTTTCATTAAAACAGTTTAATTAATACAATGGTGAAATAATGAAAAATAAATATGAATCATAGTGGGTTCCTTGACTCCTTCTCTCCAACAATAGTTCCTTCAATTTACAAATCTCGAAAAGTCAATGTAATTTTTTTTCCTTGGTCATTGTTTGGACTGCAATTTTTTTTGGTGGATGATGAACTCAAAAAATAAAAAAATGAGTATAAAATTATTTACTTATTCTATTAATAAAAAAACTTTATTCATTAAGAACTATTCCAAAATTAAGACATAAGTTTTAAACCATTAATCTTAAAAATATTTACTGCATTTCGTTATTTATTTAAACATTATACTTACTATTTTTGAAAAATAAACCACTTACTTTTTCTGCACACGTGCTGCACACTCATTTGGTTCATGTTAAGTTAAAATACACTTATTACTTCACTTCACTACTTTTTTTTACTATTCACTTCACTACTTATTTCACTACTTATTTCACTATTTATTTCACTTTTCACTTCAATGTTTACTGTTCGAAATCTGAAACACTAATGAGCTCTTTGTCAATTAGCCCCGCCTTTTATACCCGGATCCAAGATGGCGGACCCGGATGTTGTAAAAAAAATCCCTGAAAGAAGAAATTTCGATTTAAATCGAATTATATAAGTGAAAAACTGTTTTTGCCACGATAAATATGCTAATAATAACTAAAAACATTACTCAGTACTTACTATTTGTTCAGAAATTAAAAATTACATGGGCAAGTGTAACGGATTAATCATGGGGATTAATGGATTTAGACGCCAATTTCGGGTAAAACATGAAATATTATGTTATTTTATTATTGCTGTATTAGTTGGTAGTCACAAATTATCATAAAACTAAGTCTTTGGTGTGTTATTATAATTTTTACAATTTTTTTGAAACGTAACCCCAAAATGGCATAAACGTCAAAATAACACTTGTCATAAGTGCTTTTTTTGCTGAATTTTGCTGCACGTACGTGAATTCTGAATGAATTTAATATTCTCGTGTGATACTTAATGTAAAATGTTTCAAAATAAATATATATTTTGCTAAAAATAGGCTTGTACAAGTTCTAGTGTTGTTTGTGAAGTTACCTGGCTGTACAAGCATTCCTGTGCAAAATATGGAACAAATCCTGAACTTATTGTATTGTAAACATATTATTTTATACATTATTACACTGCTGAATCCATAAACACAAATTCTTTGTTATTCTTTCAGTTCTCGCAGACAGTTGTACTTGCTTATCGGCTGGGTCACAAGTTTCAAGAACTAATCGAGGCTATCTGGTCCATCGGTTAAAATTATGGGTCAATTATAGAGATACAGCAAAGGCTCATTTTAAAGCAAATTGAAGCGCATGCAAATATTACCAAATTAGATGTTACTGGGTACACAAAATCTGTGAGTCCCTACGATTGAACGAGAGATAAAAAAACATCCAAGGGGGGGAGGGTGATATTTAAAATTACCCTTCCTCTCCCCAAATATCACATGTATTTTTAGTTATGAGAAAAATTGTAAATTTGTTGTTTTGAACCTCACTCAATCAAGCTTCTAACAAGGTGATCATGGCACGATAGGCTAGATAGTGTACTTATATTACAAGTTCGACTCTAGACAAAGAAAGAATTCTACTGAGCTCGATCCTGAAAAGTAAAGGAAACTAGTCTGGGCCCATTCTGCAAAACGAGTACACGAAGGACTGAAAATAGAAGGACCGATAGGATTGGGAAGAAGAAGAATGCAGATGCGAAAAAAATATAGAAAATAAAAAATACAGGGAACTGAAAGTCAAAGCACGGGCACAAGGTAAGAGAATTATTTTATTAGACATAGTTGTCTCATACCATCTACCTGCATTCAAACAAAATACTATAGATTATTATTATCATTATTATATTATGAAGAGATTTGGAATCCTAACATTTAATATAATTTATACATTTATATACTGAATTTATAATTAATTTATTATTATTTATATTATTTAGTTGACGATTTGTGCAGATATTTGGTTTACTCGAGCCTCGAATAATTCTCTCAGTACATATTTGCGATTAAAAAATGGATTTTTGCTTCAAATTCAATGTGGTCACACCATCTGTGCTATTTTCTTTACAAAAGTTTCCTTTATCTTCATTTCATGGCACATACTTGATAAAAAATATATTTTATTTATCAAGTATTTGTATTTTAAACTTCGGGCAGACTACTATTTATGTTTAATCTTAACATTTAATATAATTTAAGTATAAAAATAGGTTTTTATATTTAAGCATAATTATTAATTAAGAACAACTACACAAAATTTATAATCAATTTATTATTATTCAGGCTTTAGTTGAGGATTTGTGCAGATATTTGGATTACTCGAGCCTCGAATAGATCTATTTACACTCGACAATATAACTTTGCCATAAGGATGATGAAGGGTACACACTGCAAATGCAAATAAATCATATTCTAATAATTAAAGATAATTTACTTAAATCAGGAGAAATATCATAAGAGGTAACTATAGTCAAATATTGAACTAAATGTTACAGTAAACTTCAGAAAAAAGTTTGAAAAAATTATTTTTTTTTATTTTTATTTCATATTATGAATATTTACATAAATACTGACATAATTTGAAGTGCATTTCATAATATACAATTATCATAATCTTTTATTTAAATTTATTACAATTATTATAATTAAATTAATTCTCTCAGTATTTGTGATTAAGAAATGCATTTTTGCTTCAAATACAATGTGGTGTGATTCTTATTTTCTTTACAAAAGTTTCCTTTATCTTTATTTCATGGCACATACTTGATAAACAATATATTTTATTTATCAAGTATTTGTATTTTAAATTTTGGGCAGACTACTATTTATTTTCAGTCTTAACATTTAATCAGGAGAAATATCATAAGAGATCACTATTGTCAAATGTTGAACTAAATGTTACAGTAAGCTTCAGAAAAAAGTTTATAAAGATTAATTACTTTTATTTTTATTTCATATCATGAATATTTACATAAAATATTATTATTATATTATGAAGAGATTTGGAATCTTAACATTTAATATAATTTAAGTACAAAAAATAAAAGTATTTTTTTCTATTTATGAACAACTACACAGAATTTATAATCAATTTATTATTATTCAGGCTTTAGTTGAGGATTTGTGCAGATATTTGGATTACTCGAGTCTCGAGTAGATCTATTTACACTCGACAACATAATTTTGCCATAAGGATGATGAAGGGTACACACTGCAAATGCAAATAAATCATATTCTAATATTTAAAGATAATTTAAACCTAACTTAAATCAGGAGAAATATCATAAGAGGTAACTATTGTCAAATTTTGAACTAAATGTTACAGTAAGCTTCAGAAAAAAGTTTAAAAAGATTAATTAAAGAAGTGCATATATATCATTTCATAATCTACAATTATCATAATCTTTTATTAAAATTTATTACAGTAGTTATTACAATTAAATTAATTCTCTCAGTATTTGTGATTAAGAAATGCATTTTCGCTTCAGATACAATGTGGTGTGATTCTTATTTTCTTTACAAAAGTTTCCTTTATCCTTATTTCATGGCACATACTTGATAAACAATATATTTTATTTATCAAGTATTTGTATTTTAAATTTTGGCCAGACTACTATTTATTTTCAATCATAGCATTTAATATAATTTAAGTACAAAAATATGGTTTTCTATTCAAGCATAATTATTAATTAAAAACAGATACATAGAATTTATAATCAATTTATTATTATTCAGGCTTTAGTTGAGGATTTGTGCAGATATTTGGATTACTCGAGCCTCGAATAGATCTATTTACACTCGACAACATAATTTTGCCATAAGAATGATGAAGGGTACACAACTGCAAATGCAAATAAATCATATTCTAATATTTAAAGATAATTTATAGGTAACTAAGATTCAGCTTTTTTAAACAAAAGATTAATTTCTTTTATTTTTATTTCATATCATAAGATTTACATAAATACTGCCATCATTTGAAGTATATATATATATATATATATATATATATATATATATATATATATCATTTCATAATCTACAATTATCATAATCAATTATTCAAATTTATCACAATTATTATAATTAAATTAATTCTCTCAGTATTTGTGATTAAGAAATGCATTTTTGCTTCAAATTCAATGTGGTGTGAATCTGTGCTATTTTCTTTACAAAAGTTTCATTTCATTTTATGGCACATACTTGATAAAAAATACATTTTATTTATCAAGTATTTGTATTTTAAATTTAACCTGAAAATAAAAATGAGTTAAATTTTAATACATGCATTTGTCATATACTTACATAAAGAAATTATGTTTACAAATTCTGTTTTGAATAAATCGCCACTGAATTGTTATTAACAATAAAACAATATTTATAATATGGTTAACATTATATATATATATATATATATATACACCTAAGTCTGTTTTTACAAGGTCTTTTTGTACACGGTTTTGATATAACACGGTTTGAAAATTGAATATTTTTAATTTTTTTACACGATTTTATTCCATTTAGCACGATTTGAAATTTTATGTACTTAAATTTTTTTTGTCAAATTTAATTTTTGCGAAGTATGTTCATATCACAAAAAAGTATTTATGAAAGAAAAAAGTCTGAAACCATCGATAGTATCAGAATTATATATTTGATTTAATAAAATAAACATGAATTCTTGTTCTTAAAAATTCTTGTTTTTCACTAATTTTAATAGGTTTTAGAGATTAGGAATAAATCACCCATTTTTGTATAAGATCAATGTCTTTTTTTACACGTTTTTTTTTACACGGCTTCTTCTGGAACCAATCTACCGTGTAAAAACAGACTTAGGTGTATATATATATATATATATATATATATATATATAATATTATTTATTTAAAGTAAATGTTCATCTAAAGTAGTACTGTCTTGGTTCTCTTAATATGGTGTTCCTTATTAATTAATAACTAAGTATATGTTTAAATATTCAATAAAAAAATTCTAAATTAATTTATGGGTGATTTACAAGTATACTCAGTTGCTGGTGGGTCTTGTAATGTTAGACAATATTCTAGATTGTTTATTTAACTTTTTTATTTAATATTTAAAACGCTGTAAATAAATGTTACAGACAGTTTAACTCCAGTTAATATTTTCTAAGTGCCAGAATTCAGATATAATATTTTTTTTATCGGGAACGTGCATGTATGTTTAAAGTATATAATTAGTTTTTTATTAATATATTTATTTTTTTAGATGATTGATTATGCAATTAAGCACAAAAATTGTCAAATTAAAATATTAAACAAATACTCCCCTTCTCCAACTGATTTTATTCAAAATTTTGCTAACCAAGTGTATATAATAGTTTATACTGAACTTTAGTAAATTTTATCTAGTTTATACTCATATAAACAAATAAAAATGCCCAGGACAAAATTTCCAAGTTATTTCACAAAATGTAAAAAAAAATGTCCCAAAACCATCAAATCTGCGCTTCTATTACAAATTATTCAAAATTTTGATATGCAAGTGTATATAACAGTTTATACTGAACTTTAGTAAATTTTATCTAGCTTTTACTAATATAAACAAATAAAAGTGTCCGGAAAAAAGTTTCTATGATATTCGACAAAAAGTTGAAAAATGTCCCAAAATTTAATCTATTGCTAATTCTCCTGTCAAATCAGGCGTTTTAACTGCAAATTATTCAAAAATTTTATATCCAAGTATATATAACAATTTATACTAGATTCTGGTAAATTTTATCTGGTTTATAATGATATAACTAAATAAAAGTGTCTGGAATAAAAATTTTAAGTTATTTGACCAAATGTAAAAAAAATTTCTAAAACTATTAACAAACTTAAATCTGTCATGCAGGTAAATATTCCTGTTTTTTCTTAATTTCCTTTTTTTCATAAAAAAAGTCAAACTATCATCTTAATATTTCGTTATATAATCCATTCATTTGTTATTATTATTATTTTAATTATATTTCAAATAAGTAAATTCCTTTCTTTCATAATTTATATAATATACGTACATAATTTATATAATATGATAATCAAAATTCATTAATTTATACATTTTTTGGTTTTTGTTTGGATTTTTTGTTTGAAGTTCTACTTAAATATATGTATATACAACACTCAGATTTTTAACACACACTTAAGTGTGGCCATACTTGGCCATTCGACACTTAACAATTTCCTTGATATGATATCTTGTGGCCTCCATGTGATTTCATCATGATGCCCACAAATATAATGTAGAAATTTACTAGCAGTTTAAGAATTGCACTTGGTTGGAAATGCATCAACATGAATTGAAAACAGTGAAAATGAATATACATAATATATATATATTTAATGTATTACATTAAATATTCATTTTCACTGTTTTCAATTCATGTTGATGCATTTCATATAAAACCAAGTGCAATTCTTAAACTGCTAGTAAATTTCTACATTATATTTGTGGGCATCATGATGAAATCACATGGAGGCCACAAGATATCATATCAAGGAATTGTTAAGTGTCGAATGGCCAAGTATCGAGTGAAAATTGCACACTGACCCCTTCACCGGGAATCGCTCTAAAAATAATTTAAAAAGTACGTTTTTAACGATATTCAGTATAAATGTGAACAATAAATAACTAGCACGCCTCTTCGTACTGTTCTCGGCTGGACCAAGGAGTTGTGTAGGCGTGTAACTTTGTAACTTATAAACCGCCGTTTGTGCAAAATAAATGAAACATTCGAAAAACTTGTCCAAATAAAATTATCTACAACAAATACGCAATGTTAAAACTGTCGACAATTCTTTGTAAGTTCCGCGTCCATCAGCGATTCAACTGAAAAGGACTTCAGGCTTTAGGCCTGAACATTTTCTCAAATTTTTCATATTGTATATATTTATATGCTTATTTCATATTGTATATATATCTTATAAATATACATATGCTTGTATTTTTGTTCCGGTTACACCTTTAATGTCCTGACGGAACTTCCGGGTTCCGAAAGTGCCATTATCAGACAAAAACTTTTGCAAAAACAACTTTTTGTAAAAAAAAAACACTTGAAGAGTAAATTATGCACTTTATGCAAAAAATCAAATAATGTAAATGTGTATATATATGCTTGTATCAAAATGTTACTTTTATTTATTCAATCATAAACTTGCTGTTATTATTGCGAATTTAAATAATTTTTCTATCATATACATTTTTGCATGTAAGTAATTCATGTCGAGAGGGATGTTAGAAATATTTTGTATATTTTATTTAATTAGTTTTCTATATAAGTTTTTTAATTAGTTGTATTTAATTATTCTATTTTATAATTTGTGTAATTATTTATAAATGTTGTTTTCTTAATTAACTTAATGTAATTGATACAAACAATTCTGATAATAAAAATAGAAAGAAAACAAGAAAACTATGCTAACTAAACTACTGCTAAAATGTCGATACTAAAAACTATGTTACCAGTCTATATAAATATATGTTCATGCTCTATGCTCAATTTTGATGTAAATATTTTTAAAATAAATCAACAGTCTGCGCTGCCTGGATCTTCCGAGACAATATAATAACATATAATAACAATAACAATGCTGGATCTTGGTCGAACAAGTTGTTTCTTTATAATAATAATAAATTTACAAGTCATAAGTTTAAATAGATTTAAAGTTAAAGTGTGTTTTGTGTGAAAATATGATTTGGGTAAGTACAAAATAATGTTTTATATTTTATTTTTAAGGCAAAGTGGTTTATGTTTGTGTATTTATAAATATTTTGGCAAACTGTTAGGCATAATTCTAAACAAATATTTGTTTCAACACATTATGATATAATCCAAAATAATGATTAATACACGAATTTGTTACTTTAAACGTCAAAAGTGAATTAGATTGTTTAAGGTTAAACGTTAAACGTCAAAATTGACAGTTGTTTGACAGCTGTTTATTTCCAAATGTGTTTTCAAATGTGTTAATTATTAAATATTTTATTTGAGAATAAAACCACAAAAACTTGGTGAAAAAATCCGTGGATAGATATCTTTAAATTAATCTTAATTTATAGTTCGTTTTCTCTTACTTTTTCAAAACAACTCAAAGTTAGAAATATTTCAAAAGACGAAAATACGTTTTTTCATTGTTCACACAAAAGGTGTTTTTTTATGCAAGGAAATACGTTTTTGAATGTTTTCTTTGAAAACAATAATATTTGTGTATTAATTGTCGTGTTAATAATATTTATTAAAGTGCAGTTGTTATCAATATTTCAAAATTTACATCATAAGAGTCAAAATTTTTAAATGCCCTTTGCAAGTAATGTTTTTTCTTTTGAATCATATTTGTATCATTTTCAATTAAATTAATTAATTAATTCAATTGATAAAATAAATATTATTTGTTTAAAAAATTTGCACAAAATTAAATTACCAACATTTTTTTTAATATTAATATTGGAATACTTTAAAATATCATTCAAAGCAGAATAATGATTTTAGCGAGCTAACAGTATAATTATGCTGTATAAGATTTATGAATCATTAACCATATTGAATTCATGGATTTCATCAAACAAATTTTACTCAATTGCAATCGTTATGCGAGTTCGGGACATTTTTTTTACATTCTATCAAATATTTTGGAAATTTTATTCTGGACACTTTTATATGTTTATCTTATATATAAAAATGGATCGCAAAATGTGTTGGTAAGCGCATAACTCAACAATGCTTAGATCAATTAAATTAATTTGGCCGATTCTTTTTTTTAAATTTTTGTTGATGTCCAAGGATGGTTTTAACGACGAGAGAAAATCGAATAATTGCCAGGAAAACCCTAAAAGCAGCCCTTTTCTTTTTCTCA